GAATGGCCTTCCTCAAGGAAGAGATTGGAGCCCATGTGGGACATTCATATATAAAAGCAGAAGGATAATAACACTAGTAACGTGTTGAGTGACTCCTCCAAGCCAGCCACTGGCTTTACCTCGTCCAATTCTCCCGACAGCCCAATGCATGATATACTCATCATCCCTTAACCCCAGTTTCAAAAATCCAAAAAGTGGTAGGGTGCAGTGGCTCATGATCTCGGCACTTTGAGCAACAAAGTGAGACCCCCATTCTGGGAGGCTAAGGCAGGAGCATCGCTTGAGCCCAAGAGTTTGAGGTTGCAGTGAGCCATAATCATGCTACTGCACTCCAGCCTGTGTGACAGAGCAAGACCCTGTCTCTAAAAATAACTCCAAAAGCTCTGACAACCAAAAGATTTTTATAACTCACTTGGTGGCAAGTCCTGGACTGAACTGATGTGAGACTATTTATGGTCTTAATTATGCCATTTACTGTAAATATCTATAAGTTTCCCTACAAAAATATTAATGCATTTGATTACAGGGTGTTCCCCAGAACCCACTGAGTGCTCCATAATATAGTGTTATGCACCATATAACTTTTCTAAAACCCAGCATTTCTGAATGTTGAAACATCTGGTCTGAAGATAAAGTACAGTGGGCGTCTCAGTCTATTTTCTGCTTCTATAACAGAATATCTGAAACTGAGCAATTTACAATGAATAGAAATGTATTTGGCTCATGATTCTAGAGGTTTGGAAGTCCAAGAGAATGGTGCTGACCTCTGATGAGGGCCATCGTGCTGCATCATTCCATGGTGGGAGGCAGAAGGGCAAGTGAGCATGTGAACCAGAGACAGGATGGGGACTGCCCACTCCAATGACAATTAATCCGCTTCTGCCATAATGACATTAATCCATTCATGAGGGCAGGGCCTGAATGGCCTAACCACCTCTTAAAGACCCACCTCTTAATATCATCAGTTAAATTCCAGCATGAATTTTCGAGGGGACATTCAAACCATAGCAGTGAGACTGTATTATTATTTTTCCGTTTTTACACATAAGAAAAACTGAAGTTTCATGAAAAGTGATGACATTTTCTAATTGCACAGTGACAGCCTTTTTCTTACTCCTGTTCAGAGGAGAATTATGTCACAATACTGAGACTCTGCTACCTACCCACCGTCCCTACCCCGATCACAAGTTCCTGATGGGATGTGGCACCCTGAGATCTTTCTAGACCCCTTTCAGTTATTTTTATAATAAACTTCCAAACGCTTCCCGTGTTTTGGATATTGATTGTTTCTGGACAAGTGGCAATCAGAGATTTATCCACAGAAACTCCCTAGAGTTTAAGGAAGCCTTTTGTACTGCCAATGTGTTCATGTGACTAAAATAGAATAAACTCTTGAGGGTTTCTTTTCATTGCCCATCTCCGTGCTGACCCTCCTTTACTGCAAACCCTTGCTTACCTTGTGCCCTTGCCAGAACTTCCCTCTGATCTCATTCTCATTTAGTAATTAATTCACTCAACAAACACTGATGGAGTCCCTGCTGCTGCCCACAATGTGGTGGGAGAGGTTTTATGATTTATTAGGAGAGCACTGGTTTGACAGACAAAAGATTAAGGTCCTGGTTCTGTAAGAGTTCAGACAAGGCCTTTTTTCTTCGCTCTGGACCTCAGTTTAACCTTAACCAAATGTGAAGTAAGAAGATAATTGAGAGGATGCAAAAACCATCATCACAAAGTATTGAAACCTAATACAAACAGGACTGAACAATAAAGAGTGTGGGTCTTGGCACAGTCTGCCCAGGGTGCTGGCTGTGCAGTTCTCTTGATTCAGTCCTCCTCTGGGTATCCTTTTAGTTTTCAGGGTGGCTTATCTCATGATCACAAAATGGTTGCCAGCAGCGTCTGCAATCACACGCTTTACGGCCAGAGTGGGAGAGGTGGAGCTATTTCAGGCATTAGGCTCAGTTTCCAAACTGGTTGCTCTGAGCCAGATCTATTCCAATGGAGCCTACACTGGTTCCAGGGGTTCAGAGCCTAATCTGGAGAAGTTAGCAAATATTTTGATCATCAATCCTGGAAAGAGTGTTATTTCTAATAATCATCACACAAAAGTCCAGATTTCAAGCTAATTGGCTTAAGCCGAAGTTACCTGAACAAATCCCATGGCAGGAGGCTTAGGATTGCCCCATTTGGCTTGGAACTATTAGTCCTACTCCAAGAACTGGGGTTCAGGTCAGTCTTGCTCAAATTGCATGCTCACTACAGATGGGTGGGAGTGATGAGGTTTTGGGATTGCATAGAGGGATGCAACCAAAATGTGCTCCACTAACTCTAAGTTCCCTTCTCACTCTTTCTTTGTTTCTACGTTTTGACCCCCCTATACGTGATGTTGCAAAGGATACCCCCATCTTAACATTTTTTTCCCCACTCATTTACTTTAGCCTAGTCACACTGTCTGGGGACTCTAAGATCAACTTCTAATCTTCCAAGAATGTTCCTCTAAATCTGAAGGCAAGGAGAAGTGGAAACCGAGATCTGGTGCACTGCTGGTTTGCGGTGTCAGCATGGGCTAGGCAGGAAGAAGATTTCTGGGGGCAAAACCTCTGCACATCTGCAGGGCTTCCCCTTTGCTGGCACTCAGATGGCACTGAATACAGGAATTTTCATCAGTTTTTCAAAATATAGCAGTAATAAGTGGAGTGTTAAAAACTCAAAAGGCTACATGAAACATACTCTTCCCCACCTAGTACCTCCAATTCCCAATTCCCAGAGTGAACCACCATCATCTACATTTCGCATATGCTCCCAGTTACGTTCTGTACGTATACTAAAATATATAAACAGTATTTACATAGGTATGTGTATATATACAACCAAAGCCTCCTTCTTCTATATATAGGGATTATAGTACAAATGTTTGTTGAATGAATAAATGAGTGACTAACAGTAACTAGGGGGCTCTGACTGTGAAAGGCTCTCATCTATGCCCCCAACGACTGTCAGTCAGGAAAACAGCTCACACAAGTTGTTTGAACAGAGAGATTTTAACGTAGAGAATTGAGTAAACAAAAATTGGAGGCACAGAAAGACAGAAAGTGGCCATTGAGGACTTACAGAGATACTAACTGCCAAAAAGCAGCTGAACCTTTAGGGCAGAGGAACAAAGAAAGAGATTGGGGTTGTTAGAACCTGGAAGCTTGGAGAAGAAACAGCAGAACCAGGACATAAAACTCAGAGAAGCCAGTGCTGGCTGATTGGTGCTGATGTTGCTGGACATGCCATGGTGGGTTCTGAGGGTGTGGCCAAAAGCGGGTGACCTGGAATTCGCTGCTGGTGGAGTGATGCGGCCAGGAGTAAGCAACAAATGGGAGAGATGGGGTCTCTCCTTCTGCCTGTCTTTATCCCTCCAAGAATCAATGGGAGGGGGCCTAGTAAGGAGAAGCTGGCGAAGGGGAAATGTGGTTTGCAGGATTTCATCTCCAGGAGCACAAAGTAGAGAACAGAAGGGCGAATTTGGGGCTGAGGGACAAGAATTTAATAACCAGTGCACCTTGTTTTTGTTTGTTTGGAGCTTTTGTACAAATTAGAAAAAAGTATACCCTCTGGGCAGAATTGGCCCTGGGTCAGGGTGCACGGTGTCGTGGTAGAGAAAGGTGCTGCACCATACCTGGGCATAAGGTGGGCAGGAGAATATGAGCTGGGTTTTAGCCCCCAACTATGCTTTTCACCAGGTGTATTTGTATAGGGTACAATCTGGTGCAGTCATATGTAATGGCCCTGCATCTGTCCAGCTATAGGCATTGTAGTGCAATTGGTTACATGTGGGCATCACACACACACACGCACACACACCACGGAAGCACTTTCTTTTCTTCTTTGGGAGCAGAGCTTTGGGATGGTGTATCAATCAGGAGGCCTCTGTGATCCCTGCTGTGTCAACTCACTGGGTACCGGCCCCTTCTCAACACCAGGACCCGGGGTCTGACAACTCACTGGGTACTGGCCCCTTCTCAACACCAGGACCCGGGGTCTGACTTGTACAAATGTGCGTCTACAGGCAAAGCATTGACAACATAAACATAATTTTCTCAGTAAATCTAGGATGGGAAGCTGTTTCTGAGGGGGCTGTGGTGAACAAAGATGGGAATTAGGCCTTTTTAGACAGTAGGCATTCAAGAAGTTTGAATGGCTATTTCAGAATGCTTCATAACAGAGTTTTCAAATTGGATGGGAGTCTAGAAGTGACCTGGTGGTAGTGATTGTGGTGATAAGAATAGTTGTCTTACACTCAGTTCTCTGGATCCAAACTGAGACAGAGGTGGTGTGAGAAGCTGGTGGGTGCTAAGTGGGAAATCACCTGCGAGGAGGTGAGGAGGCAGAGAGGGCAGAGGGAGAAGCTGAGAGACGTGCAGCTGCACCAGAGGCCCTGGCTGTTCCAGGAACCTCTGGAACAAGGATAGCCCTTTAGGGTAGTCTCCAATTTAGGTCAGAAGACTGGGCTGTGTGTCTACACATCAGCCTTTCATTGGCTGTGGCCCCTTGGGAGGAGGCATGGCCTCGGAAGGGGAGCAGGTTTCTGCTGAGTAATAACTATGACCTTCCCATCGGCTGGAAGATTGGGGTCTTGGATCTGAAGAAGGGATATGGGGAGCACACCACAGCATCCACTACAATAGCAATGAGGGTGTCAATAGCTACCACCTGGCCATCACCTACACCAAGCTAGATGCTTCACCCATAAACCTGGTTCTCTCCAAGTCTCCACCATCTGAGTGAGTGGTATTAACCTCCAACTCCACTTCTCAAAACAAAATCACCAGAGCCCTCCTTGATTCTCCCCTTTTCTTCTCTCACAATCTGTCAGTAGGAATTATTGGTTCTAGCTCCAAAATACATTCTGAATCTGTCCACTCCTCTCCATTTCCATCCCTCTGGCCCAAGCCATCAAGTCCTCCATGGCCAACTGTAACAGCTTCCTAACACACCTCTCTCTTTCCACCCAGGTTGCCTAGACAGCCACTCTCCATACTGCTGCCAGAAATAACACTCAAAATAATGCTCTTTTTAATTAAAAAGCAAAACTCTTCAACTGCTTTTGTTGCATTTAAGGTTCAAACTTCTTACCACGGAGTGGAAGGCCCCACACAATTAGCCCTGTCTTCTTCACCAACTTCCATTTTTCTCTGGTCCACCATGTTCTAGCTGCATGGTCTCTCTCTTCATTCCTTGTACATGTCAAGCTTACTCTTGTCCCAGAGTCTGTGTCTTAGTTGTTCCCTCTGCCTGGAATGGCCTTCCCTAGAACCTGCCTTGGCTGATTCTTCTTGCTATTCAAACCTCAGCTCCCACCTCCTGCTTTAGGCCTCCCCTGACCACTCTAATTAAATTCCTACTGGAGACATCAGTCCACCTGGTTTCAGGGGCCAGGCCTTCCTCTTGCAGCCTAGGGGCGCTTTGTAGACTGTTCAAAGCTCCCTTTGCACAACTCAACCTGGCAGTGGAGTCTTACTTTCTATTTTCATGATCTCAGGGATGTTTAGAGACCTCGTTGGCCTGGCTACAGCACATCCTAACCGGGCATTGAGTTGGAGGAACTCAGGAGGGTATAATCTGGCCTAGCTCCTCCAAGTGAGTCAGTTACTAAGTGGAGAAGAGAAGCCCTTTACCATTGAATTTTTAATTGTACTGGAAACTGCCTAGCCCTTTGGTAGAACAATAAAGGGGAATTTGGTTACTTGGTCTAGAGGCCTGGGGCAAGTAGGAACAGAGATGAGGTCAGAAAGATTTTTAACATGTGGGCTTTCTTTAGTCATTAAAAGAGAAAAGCAGGCTCTTACAATGTTTGAAGGAAACCATTATGCAGTTTGCAAGTAGTTATTGGATTCTGGCTGTGACCAAGACATTGAAGGACTTGGGCTGAGTTTTGGGGCCACTGGAGTATGATGGGGCCACTGGAGTATGATGAGGCCTCTTTTGTCATGGAGCTGACTTCTAGGAAGGGAGACAGGGCAGAGGCAAAGGGCACAGGGACTACATCATGGAGCGCCATGCTGCATCAGGCACTATGTTTGGGTTTCCATACACACAGAGCAATTAACACACAGTAGGCCATGTGTACCTGGACCCAAGGGGCTGACCAGGTGGAGGGGGCCGGGACTGCCCAGGAAGGGCAGCAGGTGATCTCTGAGGAGCAAAGGGGATGCGAAAAGGCTTCCTGCAGGAGATGGACTTGGAACCAGCTCCAGGTGCACCGCGGACTCTGAACACACACCACTGAAATAATGGGCCATGAAATTCATTTCTCCAGCACTATTCTGCTTCTCTGTCACTTCTTTCCCCATCATTTCCTTTCCCGGCTACAGAGCACTCAAGAATGCCTTGCTGTGCCCAGTCAGGCCTCTGGAGTCCACCCTACCTGGCTGATGTATTATTATCACCAGCAAACACACACCAGAGGCGGTATCTTGGCTGGGAAGCACATTGGCACCTTGGAAGCCCTTCTTAGAAAAAGTAAACGATTGGCATTTGAGCCTCCTCATTGATTCCTTTGGATGAGGCAGAAACCGCTGCCCAGAAGGATGAAGGGGTGAAGTGGAAAAACATGCGCTGGCTTCAAAGTGGAGCATGGGAGGTTGGGAACAGTTCTGCTTTGTGAACAAAGTTGCGCAAAAGGCAGAGAGAGAGAGACAAAGATAAAGAGAGAGAGCGCAGGAGAGCGAGGCGGGAGGGAGTCAGCTTTGGATGATTTGAATTTTGAATTGCCTTGAAAATCACCATGCAGCAGTATCCAGTTCTGCCTTTGATGGTCGAAAGAAACCAGCTGCATTTACTCGTCTTCAGGTCTTGTTTCCCCCTCAGCAGTGAAGCAAATTAAGCAAAGAAACAGTGAAAGTTGTAGTTGGTATAATATCTCAGGCCAAGGTCAGGCTAATTGTTGGTGGGTGGGGAGGGAGCGGCGACAGAGACAAGGCACACACTCTAGGTGTTGATATTTCTCACTCCTGCTCCATTCTGCTCCCCATGATGTCACTTTGGCATTTCCAAACATGGCAGGCTTTCTTTACAAACTAAGACCCCTTGTTCTAACCACTAGCATTCCTGCATCATGCCATGCATTCAGGCAGGTAAGACGTGGTCCCTTTGCCCAAGTCGGGCTACAGGGGTGGCAAACCTTGAGACACATCCCAGGATATCCTATAACGCTGTTCTTAATTTGCAACATCAGCAGGGAGGGCAGGTATTTGCCGGTGAGTGTAGCCTGATTTTTTCCTGCTGCCTCATTTTTATCATCAACTCAGTTGTAAAAATTAATATCATGGAGGCTTCCTTGAAGGATATGAAATGCGTACTTGTCCCTAGAAAGTCTAAAATGTACCTTTGTGTCAAATTTAAGCAGCCATCTGGGAAGCTTGCCTGTGCTGTTTCGGGCCCTGGTAGAGCTCTTTTGAATGAGTGGCATGCTGGCAGGATGCCAGCTGCCTGAGAGGAGGAACAGGGAGGTGCTTGACCCCGTGATGGGTAGAAGATGGAAAAATTGTCATTTCAAAACAGCAAGTGGTTCCTCTCTTGATAGAGGTAGAGACTTTCACCTTTAGGGCAGACATTTCCTTTGTGTGGTTGTGTCCATCAGAATGGACCCTTGGGGACAACTGGGCAGTAGTCTGAATGCTGATGTTTTAGATGGGAATATGGGAGATTAATTTGTTGCATGTGGTTATGCCAGAGCAAGGTCTCTCCTTTTTGTCTCCTTCTCTCCCTTCCTTCCTTGCTTTTGATTGTGCTCTGCTCACCTCCTTCTGGTCCACACACCTTAGTAAGGCACTGTGGTCACTGAATGCTGCTGTCCAGAAAGGGATTCTTTTCCCTCAACTGCTTCCTGAGTAATGATCAAGGTAAAAGTGATGAAGTGGAAGGGGCGGGTAATCAGACTTATTTTGAAAACTCAAGATTCTGTCCTGACCACTTCTAGGCATGACACATCTTCCTTTCCCTTAAGAGCAGCCCCAGGCTAGCCCAAAGAAGGCTTGGAGGAGTTAAATGTAATTCTGGTTTGGCCACCTGGATTCTCTTGTCGGCTTGACCTGACTTTAGGTCATTAGGATAGTGACCACTTGGCTGAGTACACAGCTCATGCAGCCCCCTATTGTGGCCCACATCAACAAAAGTGGGGGATATAATGGATCTCTCCATGTTTTATGAAAATGCTCTTGTCACTCTTGCAGTTGAAACTTCTGGATTAAAGATGTATGTGTGAGTAGGAGAGTATTGGGAAAAGGGTGATATTATATTTATTGGAAGGTCAGTGGAGGAAGGGCATTGACAGTGGCACCCACAGAGGGAATACCTTAGCCTGTACTTGTACTTAGAGGTACAGGGAAGGAAGGGGCACTGATGAAATTTGTCTTTCAGAACCGCTCCTGGAGTCTTTCTCCCAAGAGCAAGGCCCTGGTGCTGCTCTCTCAAACTGTTCAAGTGCCTTAATGTAACTGACTGCTGGCTCTGCTGGCCCCTCCCACTGGCTCCAACCATGGCTTGGTCCCCACTCCCCTTAACCCCAGCTCCTGCACTTCCCATGCAAAGCACCTGCCAGCACCTCTGGATAACTTTCCCAACCACATTCTCATACTATTTGCTCAATCATTCCATGGGGCAAGAGAATGTCACCTGACGAGGAATGTAGACAGACAGGACAAGTTGGACAGACAGTCCTCAGACAGAATCTTTGAAAACAGGGACTCCATTATTGGAACTGAAAATCCTAAGTCTTACCACCCATGGAGAGGCCATATTGGAGGCAGTCAACCTGTGCCTCCAGCTGATGTAGTCCCATTTGGGGATCCCCAGCAACTGTGAACAATACTTCCTTTCTAGGGGCACCATATGCATCCCAGGGAGTATAACTGTGAATTGTGTGGAAGCCAGATGTTAACTTGTCTCCCTACTGCAAACACAGTGACCTTCCCAGACAGAAAACCAAGTCATTATTTATGGGTACCCTGTGAACTGTTTTCCCTATAATGGGACCTCTCCAATTAGAAAAGGAGGCATGAAATTTGTCCCTGACTTCTGTTGACCCCACCTTGGCCTGGGCCCTGGAAAGCATTCGTGTCAGCCTCCGCTCACTGACCAGGGTTGTGACAGATGACTATAGAATTACCCTACACCTTTTCCTTGTAGGCCAAGATGGAGTCTCTGCAATTCCAAATACATCCTGCTCTACCTGGATCACTGCCTTGAGCTGGGTGGAAAGGTCAGCAGAGATATGTATCCACCTGGCTTTCTAAGGTAGACCCAGGTTGTTGATGGCATCCGTTCATCTGGCTGGATCCAGGACCCTGGGGCGGTCATGGCTGAGGCCAGTGCTGCAGGTTAGTCTCGTCTCGCTGCATGGATCCTGTTGGTAGTAACTTTAATTAAATGCTATAGGAGACTAACTAAATGGATTTAGTCCCACCTTCTGTTGGTCAAATTAATCAGAGTGGCCGATAGAGTGATGCATTTAAGGGAGGATTTGCCAGAAGCTAAGGCTGTAAAAACCAGGGCTAGATTTGGTTTGAGACAATTCTCCATGGGTCTTTCAAGTTTCTGCATGGTTTGTGAGCAGAGGCACTGACTGCCTTTGTTCCAGATGATCTTTTCAAGCATGCTGTACCACAAGCATGGGAGATAGTATCTCTTTCTGAAGCCAAGGGCAGGCAGGCTTAGTGTTCCTTAGGAAAGATTCACCTTCCCTCCACTCGGGGTTTCTCTCCTGTAGTGCAGGTGTGTGAAGGAGCCATGTGGCCTTTCCTGTGCTGCCCTGTAAGATTTGGATCTTAGGGAGCCGATGCAAAGAAGTACTGCTTCTGGGTCCTGCTACTTCTGTGAGTCATGAAATCTTTGATCTCTGACCCAGGAGTCTCATGTCTTCTGTTAGCCTCCAAGAAGGGTAAAGTCATCTTAGGCACGTCACAGTTCTTGATCACCATATCTGGCCAGAACCACGCTTGAGTGTGGCATGTCTGTGAACACCATCCATCGTGTGCGTCACAGGAAGATAAAAGTCAACTGCTCTTGACATCACCAGACCATACTGGATGGTAGGTGTGG